TGTTTGGTCTTACACAGCTGGCAGCTGTTGTCTCCTGGTCTTCCTTTGTCTAAAAGTTGGAGTACTGGTCCAGTCACAGAGTAGGACTCTAGGCAGACTAGGAGAGACATGAGCAGCCATGGGATGCTCTCTCTCATTTGCCTGGGGTTCAAGTGTGTGCACACTTGTTAGCACAAGGGCACTCAGACATGTTTATACATGCATTTGTAAGTGTGAACACACACACACACACACACACACACACACACACACACACACACCCCACATGAATAGCCACACACAAAGTCTCCAGTGGACACAACGTGCTTGTAGACTCATTAGAACCATCTCAGGTCAGGCCTCTCAGAATTTGTTAGTAGCTCATCTTTTTTCATTCTTTTTTCCATCCCTTTTTTTCCCTTTTCTCACTATGTACCCCCGACTCTTCCGGAACTCATTATGTAGAACTACTCGAACTCACAGAGATCCCTCTGCCTCTGCCTCTTCAACGCTGGGATTAAAAGCGTGAACTACCGTGTCAATGGAGCAATTCGTCTTTTAAAAGTCTTGAGTGACTGTTTAGGATTAATTTTGTATATTGGGTCCCCATTTGGTGGAACTGTTTGGGAAGGATTAGGATGTGTGGCCTTGTTGGAGGAGGTGTGCTGTGGAGGGTGATGAGCTTTGCGGCTTCAAAAGACTCACACCATTTCCAGAGTGCTCTCTGCTTCCTGTTTGCAGATCAAGATGTGAGCTCTCAGCTCTTCTTGTTGCTGTGTCTGTTCTGCCATCACTGGCTCTAGAACTATAATCCCAGTAAAGAGCTTTCTTCTATAAACTGCCTTGGTCATGGTATTTTATCACAGCAACAGAACAGTAACCAAGACATTGCATCTGTGTGTCTGTCGCTGGCTGATGTGGGTCTAGAGGGCAGATGCTGGAGTGTCCGGGTTCTTGGGTCTCTCCTCTTTACAGTGAACTGTACAGAGACACACAAATAGTCACAGGGATGGAGAAAGTTTATTAAAGTGGAGACACAGGAGACCTGGAGGTGGGCCATGTCTCCCCTGTGGCCCAGGGACTGAGGTGAGGTCTCTGCTGACCTTTTATGGGTCATTAACCTAGTGCCCTCCTCTTCCGTGTAAGGGAGCAAGGGGGCTTTTCAGAGTGTGCTGTCCTGGCTGAACAAAGCTCAGGTAGGCTAAAGGCCGAAGTCTTCCCCACAGCCTTTTGTGTGTTCATCTCTGGAATTTCCTCTACTGCTTTCCTGCCTCCTGGCTACTCAGGTCTCAGCAGCAGAACAGCCCAGCTCTCAGTCAGTCTCCTGACCACCTGCCTCTCAGCAGGATCCCGAGGGAAGGTGGACAAGGAAGAAACAAACAGTGACCGACAGGCTAGCACTAGAAGGCCAGGAAAGCCAGTGCTTGAGCCCAGGGGCAAGGGAATTTACTGTTGACACCCACGGGCAGCTGGCCAGGCCCCCCCGACAGCCAGGCTGCCACCTCCTTCACAGGATGACAGCTGGAAGCTTGATCAGCCAGACCCCTCCATGAAACCCCCAAATGTCTCTGGTCTTCATTCTAGTCTTCTGCTAGAGGAACCAAAAAGGGTGGGCCAAGCCCATCCTGCTTGGCACACAGCAGTCACACACAAGTGCTCTGGAGTCCCAAGGCAGATTCAGAGGCCAGCAGCTGAGTGTGTCGGTGCTGGAACAGAGCACAAAGCCACAATGGCTGACAAAAGTTGTTGGGCCCACAGTGAGTTCATCCTCTCTCGGGAGCCCAGCCTCTGAGGGTGCTGTTTTTAACTGGAGTGGGGCAAGAAAGACAAGTGGTGGGGGTTTTATTTTTAACCTGAACCGAGAAGTAGAATGAGGTGACCCCAAGCTGTGAAAAGAGCCCTGGTCATAAACGCATTTATCATCAATTAACACCTCCAAGTCCTGAGGCTGGCCGAGCAGCTGGCACATTTGGGTTAGTTCAAGTTTCACCACCACACTCTCCTCTGCTTCTCCCTAAGAGGATGTAGAGTGAGCTGCAGGATTGCGAGTGTGTACTTAGTCAATACAGGACCAAGGTGTGCCGCCAGGACAGCAGAGAAGGCACTCACCCGGCAGTGTGACCCGCCAGAAGTCTACATGGATAGAATGTGCTTGAATGTTTAATTACTTCCCTTTAGAATCTGCCTGCCACTGAGGAAAAAGGGCATGGGCTCTAAGTTTTACATTTTAAAATGTATTTAAAAAAATATTTATTATGTGTACAGTGTTCTGTCTGCATGTGTCCCTGCATCCCAGAAGAGGGACCAGATCTCATTATAGATGGTTGTGAGCCACCATGTGGTTGCTAGGAATGGAACTCAGGACCTCTGGAAGAGCAGCCAGTGCTCTTAACCTCTGAGCCATCTCTCCAGCCCCTTAAAATGTGTTTTAATAGATAACCTGTACACGCTGTACGAATAAAAGATCCAAAGCAATGTGCAGAGAACGGCCCCTCCTGCCTCTGTCTGTCATTTTGAAATGTGTGTGTGTGTGTGTGTGTGTGTGTATGTGTGTGAAAGACATGGGGAAAGGGCTCCTATGCCACAGCACGCATGTGGAGGTCAGAGGAAAACTTTGTGAAGTCATTTCTCTCCTTCCACCTATAAATGGGTCTGGGCCCTCGAACTCAGATCCCCAGGTTTTGGTGGCAAGCACCTTTATCCGCTGAGCCACTTTGCTGGCCCCTGCCTCTGGCCCTGGCAAACCTTCTTTCCTCCACTGCTGTGGTACTTCCCAGGAGTCCACGGAGCTACTTTTGGCGCACACAAGGTGGGACACTTTAGTTCCTCACATGAAGAAGGGTGATGTGCTGTGGCACTCTTATTAATCAGTTGCAGAGTGTCAGACATCCGAGGCTGTGTCTAGTCTTCAGTGAACACAAGTGATGCAGCCTAAAGGGCTGTATGGGTGCCCATGGCTCCTACCTGCTTGAGCATCCCTTTCTGTGAGTTCTCAGAGGCTGGACTCTCAGGTAGGTCAGGTAGGGGAGAAGCCTTTGTAGTTTTGATAGATGACGGTCAAACCGTGCTCTGGCACAAATGCTCTGTTTAACAAGCCAGCAGCAGGCACAGGGATGCAGTTTCCAGACATGTTTCAGATACAGCGTGTGAGGAAAATGTGACAGTCCTGGAGGTGAATGGTGATACCTTTGTTTAGATCTCGGTTGTCTTTTGCTTCCGTTCGTTAGGTGGTGTTAAGCCTCTCTTCAAATGCATATGATATTGTCTTTCAGTCTCTACACCTCGGGTGCCAGGATGGCCACGTGATCTAAGATGCCAGCCTCTGTCTGCACATCCCGTCAGCTCTTGCTCTTTGCCTGTGTTTGCATGAGATGCTTAGGTGGCTTTTTGTTTGTTTGTTTGTTTGTTTGTTTGTTTTTGGTTTTTCGAGACAGGGTTTCTCTGTGTAGCTTTGCGCCTTTCCTGGAACTCACTTGGTAGTCCAGGCTGGCCTCGAACTCACAGAGATCCGCCTGGCTCTGCCTCCCGAGTGCTGGGATTAAAGGCGTGCGCCACCACCGCCCAGCTGGTGGTTTGTTTCTAATTGATGTATTACAACCTTTAAGCTAGGGATTTTGCCAGTTGTCTGAGCTATTGATTTTAAGTAACTTTTGCAGGTGGGTTTGCGTGTGTTTATGGGAGGTTTGGCTGTGAGGACTGTACTGATTAACCTTCAGCGTCAACATGACTGGATTTGAGGTGTCTCTGAAGGTGATTCCAGAGAGGGTTAACTGAGGACGGAAGACCTAGTCTGTTTGTAGGCGGCACCATCCCACGCCAGACTGAATAAAAAGAGGGAAAGGAGGAAGAGAGATTTGTTGGCATTTCCTGCTGTCTGCCTCCTGGTTTGTTCACACGCAGGGAGTCCCAGTGGTCTGTGACCTCTGCCATTTCTCCCCTCCGTGATGGACCCCACCCTCTCAAGTCCTGAGCTAAATGAAACCCTCATCCATTGCTCTCCTGAGGCAAGGTCTCTCTCTGAACCCAATCTCTCCATCACAGGCAGCCTAGCCAGTCAGCTTGTCCCTGAAGCTGAGATTAGTCGGGTTACCTCACCTACCCACACACATGTGGACGCTTCGGGTCTGAGCTCTGCTCCTCAGGCTGGACTGGAGCCATCTCCCCAGCCCAAAGCTTCATTTTTTAAATGTAACTAATTTCATCAGTTTTTCCCCTTTCCAGTTTTACATTTTTGTGTGTGTCCATATAAAAACTTTCCTCCCTACAAAATGAGAAACTGTATTTTCTTCTAGTTCCTTCATTTCTCGCCTTATGTATTTGGTCTGTGTCAGCTTTGTCTGTGGGATGTGTGGTTTGTACTCTTCTTTCTAGCCCACATTGTCCCATTACCGTAATTTACCAAAGAGTCCGCCTCTGCTCATTGACTCCAAATAACACCTGGTCTCAGCCCATGGATGTGCTCAGTTCTTCTCTGGGGAACAAGGGTGCTTTTTGAGGAATTACATGCAATGCCTAAGCTTAGAACCCCAGATTGGAAATGGCTTTTTTTTTTTTTTTTTTTTTTGGTTTTTTGAGACAGAGTTTCTCTGTGTAACAGTTCTGGCTGTCCTGGAACTCATTTTGTAGACCAGGCTGGCCTCGAACTCACTGAGGTCTGCCTGCCTCTGCCTCCCAAGTGCTGGGATTAAAGGTGTACACCACTACCACCTGGCTGGGAAATGGCATTTTTTTGTTTTTTGGGGTGTTGTTTTTGTTTTGTTTTGTTTTTAATTTAAATGTACTTTATTTTTAGACAACCTACATGACATGTTTTTTTTTCTAAAAAGAAAGAAAGAAAGAAAGAAAGAAAGGAAGGAAGGAAGGAAGGAAGGAAAGATAAAAACAATGTCTCCACTCTAAATAAATAAATCATGATCAAAATAAAAGCTCAAGGTGACATCAGTCTCCTTTGTCCTAAGTCCTAGTGTTGTATGGTTGGTAAGCAGCAGCCAGTTATAGTTACAGGGGACTGATCCAATTTTTTAACATTTTTCTATTTCTAAGCCATCCTTAAAGAAAATCATGTATGGAGTCACACCATCTTCACAGTAGTCCAGGAGAGCAACCATGCCATCTGGATTCATGTTTTCACCAATAAAAGACTGGTAGTCCTTGAAATTAGCAAGGATGTGCTTAATTTGCTCTGCAGCCCCAGTCATAAAAGGCTTTACTCTTTCTGGTTTCTGTTCAAGTTTGCCTTTGAGTGATTTCATGTCATCTTTGAAGTACTTTTTGTAGGCCTCTCTTGTGAAGCTGGTTTCTTGTAAGTGGTGGTTCACGACAATATCCACACCGGTAACTACAGTGTTTTCAGTACCTTCGCCCTCTGGGCCTTCAGCGGAACCATTTCCACCAATGAGCAAGTCATCAACGTTACCCTCTGTCCTACTGACTATCTTGCCCTCCACTTCCAGGCACAGCCCGTGCACGATCTCCCAGATCTTGTAGATGTTGGAGAACAGCTTGTCATGTCTGATGAGGTCTCGGTAGATGATCATGGTGGTGACTGGGGACAGAGCAAGCGCAGTGCAGCTGGAGTGGCCCCCCCCGCAGGGGGGTATGGGGTATGGGGGGGACAACAGGGGATGGTGTTCTTATAGATGGTTTTACCTGTAGGAATTGCTTCTCCATTCAGAAAAATCCACGTTCTTTGTGTAATAAGTTTTCCATTCCATCATATTTTTTAAAAGTAAAGGATTTATTTTTTGAGAGGGTGGTAGGGAGAGAGGAAGGGCGGTGTTCATGCACTTGAATGCAGGTGCCTGTGGAGGCCAGAAGAGGGCATCAGATCTCCTGGAGCTGGAGTCAGAAACAGTTGTGAGCCACCCACAACTGGGAACCAAATCCAGGTCCTCTGGAAGAGCAGTATGCAATCTTAACTCCCAAGCCTTCTCTCCAGCCCTACGATTCTATCACATTTTCAACCTGGCTTCCTCTCATCTGTTCCCTGTGGCTAGTCCCTGCAGCTTTGGACAGAAGTGTTACTACAGTAGGCCTACATGAAAACCTTCCAACCAAAGGACTAACTCAGGAGGGTGACAAAAAGAAAGAGGGATGGAGGAGGGAGCCTAAATCCCACCCAGGGGCAGAAGTCTTCTCAGTGGGCCTCTGGGGAAGGCAGGATGTTGCTGGTTGTTGTTCACTGGAAGCCTTGAAGCTCCCCTCAGGGCCCGAGTCATCTGGACACTCTAGTTTTCTTCCTAGTGGTCTTGCCAGGGAGAGATGTGCTGTTTTAGAAGGCTGAATCAGGACTCTCTGGAACCTGACACCCATCCATGTGTGGACAGGTGCCACAGCCCCTGCAGAGGCACATCTGGTCCAGGGTGACATAATCATTTCTTCTCACTACTTCAGGCAGCATGGGGCTTCCAACAGCGTAAGAGGCCCACTGTGACTCTCGACACACACCGTGACTCTCTGCCTCGCTGTTATTTGATATCAGTTCTAGTTCCTTTTTAAGATATATTTTACTTATGTGTGTGTTCATGGGCCTGTGTATTATGTACATGTACACACAGGTGAATGTGGGTACCTGTGGAGGGCATCAGATGCCCTGGAGCTGGAGTTACAGACAGGTGGGAGCCCCTGTGAGTGCCAGGAAAGGAATGTTAGTCCTCTGGAAGAGCAGCAAGTCCTCGTAACAGCTGAGCCATCTCTCTGGCCCCGGTGCCATTTTCTCAATGTTTTTGTCTTTACTTCCCCCCCCAAAGAAGAATTTAACCTGTAAGCCCACCACTTTAGACAGCTACCAGAAAGAAGGCACTTTGAAAACCAACTTTTTTTCTTTCTCTGTAAGTGTAAAGTGGGTCCAGGAAGGTAGTTAGTTGATAAATACTTGCCTATCCTGCATGACACCCTGGATCCAATCCCTTGGACTACGTAAGCCGAGCACGGCGGTCCACACCTAGGATCCTAGCACTGGGGAGATGAAAGCAGGAGAATCAGAAACTCAAGGTTATCACTGGCTTCACAGAAAGTTCTGGGCCAGCCTCAGTTATGTGAGACCCTGTCTCAAACCCCAAAAAATAAAATAAAAATTTAAAAGTGTATTTCATTTTACAAATGTATTGTAATCAACTGCTTGTAACTACACACATTTTTTTTTTTTTTTTGAAGCATCACCCTGAGTTAAAATCATCTCAGCCAGTCCTCTTGACAGCTCTGGGATTTTATGATTGTATTCAATGAATAGGCGAGGAAACCAATGTGGATATACAGGGAGCTTGATGTCACAGCTAGTACAGAACAGGCCCAGCGTGTGTAACAAATGTTCCTTGTACTTATGTCTTCTCACTCATAACTACAGTTTAGCCCCCAAAGGTTCATGGGCTAGAAGTCTAGTGTAGAGGTGCTGAGGTGGTGGGGTCTTTAAGGAGTGGAGTCCAGTGGGCGGCAGTTAGGATGCAAAGTGTGTTAGGACACAGAGTGCTCTATCCTTATTCTCAGGTGACCGTCTCAGGTCTTACGGGACTGGATCAACTCTCTTAAGGACGGGATGCTGGATGAGAACCCGAGCCTTTTGAACCCCTTTGCTGTACCCACCACCTTCGCCACAGTGTGCCATTTGACCCGATGATCTCACCAGAGCCAGTGCTGATGCCCTGCTCTTGACCAGGCAAAACTGTGAACTAAATAAAACCCCTTTCTTTAGAAAACACTCCACCTCCAACATTCTGTTATGGTAACACACAAAGAGACCATGAAAGCCACTCTGAGAGAGACGTGTTATCTTACTATTTTTATTTAATGTTTTTGGTTGCCTATGAGTTTGAACATATTTCCATGTTTTACAAATCATTTTTCTTGGTTTTCCTACTGTCTTTCCCCCATTTTTCAATGTCTTCTCCTGTGTATGTGCATGTGTGTCTGTCTGACTGTGTGTACATGTATGTCTGTATCTGGGTGGGTGCATGTGTGTGTGTATATGTGTGTGTCTGTCACATACAGTCTTCAGTTTTCTTAACTTTGAATTGTGTTATTGTTATCCAGGCCTGAGAAGTTGTAAATAAACTGCGTTGCTCCACCTGCCTCTGTGTCTCGGGCTCTGACATTGCAGTCATGAGCCATCATGCCCAGCTTGTTCCCGTTATTTTCACACTTGAGAGGTTTGCATCCCTCCTGCGTAAAGGTAAATGTTCACTCCTATCTTTAAGGTGGAAAGTGGATTTGCTTTCTGCATTTCATCCTTTATTCTGTTCTAGAAGTTATTGGCACTCTTCCCCAAAAAAAGTCTAATCAGAAGAACATTGGACAGCATGCCTACATCCTTTATCTGTTCTGACACTTGCTACCTGGAAGAGTCTCATCATCCAATTGCCAGGTGCGTCATGTCTGATATCTGGACCAGAGACTGAGGATCACACCCAAGAAAGACACAAATTCCAACTAAATCCATATTAACTTTTAGAACTTACCCCCCCATTACGGAATGCATCTAAAGCATGCATCCATGACATCTAAACCATAGGATGTTTTTGTTCTCAGGGCCAGACAATTGCTCTAAATTTTCACTGAACACTTCTGTATAACTGTGTCTGCCAGGCAGCTAGAGCTTGGTGTATGGCTTCTCATCTTGCAGTATAATTCCCGTTTACATTCCCAGGTGTCAGAGAATTCCTCCTGACCCCTAATTCCCAGCCCTTAGAGCGTGTTGATGTCTTAGCTTCTACAATGTCCTTGTTGGACATCTGAGTTCTTTTTCATGAAGGCAGCTGCCCAACTGGCCATGCCTGAACCAGTACATTCTTCTTGGTTGCATTTTTAAATTCTCAGTTTTTTTCTTAACAACTATTACAACTGAATGTTTATTGGTGTTGGTTGGGGCTTCCTGTTTCATCCTGTTAAAAACCGGTTTGAGTCAGTCACAGTCTGGTGGTTCATTGATTGTCCTGGACATCCAGGCACCCTTATATTTGACACCCCTGCTTTCCACATCGTTAATTACATCTTTGAACATCAAAGTTCGCAGTGAGAAAACTGAAGCTCAGGCTGGTGGGGTGACTTGACCAAAGTCACAAGACTACTGTGGGGAGCTGTGCATAGGCCCAGAGATTTGCATGCTTGCTCATCTTTCTCAGAAACAGATTCTTGTCTGGTCACTTACTGTAGTTGTATATGACAGTCTCATGTCACCTCCTTTCAACAGCCTGCAACCCACAGCCTTTTTCTCCCCTAGTCTGACATACTTTCTCAGCCCTGTTTCTCCCATTGGGTCCAAGAGTGGTGCCTTTGTCCCTGAATGGAAGTGGAAATGTGTCCACAGAGTCCCCTCCCTGCCCCAGCTATCAGGAGCTGATGAGCAGTTTGGTAAAGACTGATAATGGTGGAGGGTTCTGTCATGGGCTGACCTTGGTTCTCCAGCTAGGAATCCAGAGTCCCCTTGACCCCAGGGATTCCTCCGTGGAGCTTCCTACACCTGCTCTGAGCTGTTCCTTTTATTCATAAGAACTTTAGCTAATCGGTGTTGGTGTGCCAGGCTCTATCATCGTGCTTCTTTGGATTTATTGGGGCTTTCTGCATCCCTCGCTATGGAGTCGCCATTTGAGCAGCTCCCTGGCCACCCTGGCTAGCCTTCTGCAGCATGCTCTTCTCAGATGTTGGCTGGTATAGCCTGCTCCCTGCCAGGACCCTGCTGTTCTGGGGTGGATCTGGGCCGTGCTCCAGGAGACCAAATTCCCTACTCCAACTCCATCCACTTGCCCAGATGTTCCTCCATTGACTTCCTCTCTCTTCTCTTTTCCGAAGTCCTGGAACATCTCTGAGCGAGAGAAGGGCCAAAAACAGCTCTAGCGCTCATTCCACCCCTTTGCTCCCAACAACTTCAAACACAAGTATGGGAGTGAAGAGCAGGCTCCTCCTAATTTGGAGGGTGCCTCAGAATCTGTCGAAGGCCTTCACTCCGCTGTCATCTCTGACCATTTGGTTACGACTGACCTGGCTGTCACATCTGGGCTCAAGAGGACGTGCTACGAGTGATTCTCAACGTCTTTGGAGCTCAATATTTTACTGGTCCATAATAACCTGCTGTTCATGTTACAAGAAGAAAACCCCGTCACAAAAAGAAAACCTACTCACACATACATCAGCTCGTTCAAAGCCACACGTGGAAACAGGGCAGATTTGGGGATGGCATCCAGGTTGTCAGGCCTTCCCTCTTGGTGTCCTCTAAGCTGAAAGTTGGTCTCTCGAGGCAGGCAGAGGTTGCCTGCCTGCCTCCCCGTTTGTCATGTACATTCAGTGTTGGGCTATCAATGCCAAAGTGCAGGAACTCGGGCCTGGAGACAGCAGCTGGAGTCTGAAGGCAGAGTGCAAACAGAAACTGTGGGAGGGGCCAGCACACTGGGTGTCAACCTTGGAGACACAGCAGAGCCAGAGCTCAGAGCCCCAGGAATGCCAGAGAGGGCTTGGGGGCTGAGGGTGGAGGAGTGTTTCCTGGGGCTAGGGAAAAGGAGTCCATTCTCAGGACCACCTTAGTAAAAAGGGGCAGCATGTTATTTATTAAAAG